TCGCCACCGTTTAATCGAGACGAGCGGGCACCGACCCCCATACGTGTAAATTGGTTTGCAGACGACATGAGCGGGACACCAGTCCGAGCTCATCTACCCTTTTTGGGAATACAAGCACTGTTTCAGATATTCAGACCAGGTCATTAGATGGACGAAGAGTATCATTTTTCTTCATTATACTCACAGTAAACACGGCTCTTTAGCGAAGCTCAGCGACCTGCTAGGCTGGGGAACAAGCTGAGTGAGATAATGCGATGATTTGGATCCGCGTCGAGGGAAGCATGAGAGCTCGGCAGCGAGTCAGCCGTTCGGCAAACGCCGGCCCTCGTTGCTGTGATACTCCACTGCTACGCTCATCTTATCCTATTCCTACCCTCAGATGCATTGCGAGCCTCTGGCTTAGTAAACATACTCTTCGAATACTCGATACGCATCCAACCATACCCATAACTCTGCCAATCTACACCCAGCGTATCATTGCAGCGTCCACGCTACCCTCACACCCATGGGCAATTGCTCCAGCGTCCAAGACAAGGCGGAGAAGGACAGGTCAGATGAGATTGACCGGCAGATAGAGGAGGACTCTAAGAAGTTCAAGAAAGAATGCAAGATTCTGTTATTAGGTACGTCCGTTCCTGGCATTTCGATTTGTGGCATCATTTTGAAGTTGGTGCTACCTCGCAGGGTCGGGGGAAGGTGGAAAGAGTACAATCGTGAAGCAGATGAAGATCATTCACCAGAACGGATACACCAGACAGGAGTTGGAACCGTTCAAACAAATTGTGTATCGAAACCTTGTCGATTCAGCTCAGGATATCGTCCGAGCTATGGAGAAGCTGAAGTTGTCCCCCGTTGAGCCCAGCAATCGAGTACGTCACTATAACTTCCTTCCAGAAAACGGCAATGCTCAACAAAGACCCCTCCGTCACAGATACACGCCCAGCGCATCGCCGCATACGAGCTTGTTAAATCCGACGACAAATTCATTCTACCAGAAGAAATAACAAACGCAATCCATCATTTATGGGCCGATCCAATCATCCAAGAGCTGATGGATCATTCCTCAGAGTTCTACCTCATGGATTCTGCCTCCTAGTACGAAGCGCTCGAATATTCCTTTGTGCTACCCCTGACCTCCTGTTTCACAGCTTCTTTTCCGAAGTCAACCGAATAGGTTCTCCGAGCTATCATCCAAGCGAATCTGATGTCCTGCGCTCGAGACAAAAGTCGACGGGTATCACGGAGACCCGGTTCAACATGGGTCAACTATCGATACACATGTTCGACGTGGGAGGTCAGCGGAGTGAGCGGAAGAAGTGGATACACTGTTTCGAGAGTGTGACGAGCATTATCTTTTGCACTGCCCTGAGCGAATATGACCAAGTACGTTTCAGCTTCTCCCGACTTCCCACACTGCATTAATAGTCTAATTGCCCTGTTTGTTCTAGGTTCTTCTAGAAGAGTCGTCACAAAATCGAATGGCGGAGTCGTTGGTGTTGTTCGAATCCGTCATCAACTCCCGATGGTTCATGCGAACGTCTATCATCCTTTTCCTCAACAAAATCGATGTCTTCAAGCAGAAGTTACCGAAAGTCCCGCTGGAACGATACTTTCCGGAATACACCGGCGGCCCAGATATCAGTAAAGCTGCAAAGTACATCCTGTGGAAATTTGTGCAAGCCAACCGAGCACAGTTGACAATATATCCACAGTACGTAGAGTCATTCGATGAAAAGAAGTTCGGCGCTAACCGGGGACGACTGCTAGTTTGACCCAGGCTACTGATACGTCGAATATTCGCTTAGTATTCGCGGCCGTCAAGGAGACTATCTTGCAGAATGCCCTGAAAGATTCGGGGATCCTGTAGCATGAGCCATCTTGTGAGCGAAATCTGATCCTAAACCTGGTCAAGACTAATATGGTGATAGTGTCGCTTTTTGTTGCATATGCTTTCTCTTCTCATGATCCTCGACTGAATACACTTTCAGTCTCCTCCCTCGTCACTTTACGAACCATTGCTAAATAACACATGTGTCTCTTACGCCCGCCGCCTTCAGTAATTCCGAACGCATCCACGACTTCATGATCGCATGTTTTCCTCGTCATTCCACCTACATCCCTTCCCTCTTTCGTTCTATCGTTTCTCCAACTCTCCGTCAGCTCTCCTCGTCCAGCCATCGTCATCATTATCTTTCATCGTCCGTTCTTTTTGGGCTTTAGCTTAGCACGACTCCCTTCTTTCCTATTTATTCTTCAGTGTCCGCGCGCTGTCTCTTCTATCCTCTCCTCGCAATAGCTCCTTCGGCGATTTTGGGCTTTCCCCCTCGGCCTGCGTAGACTGTCGCGTCCATCCGACGCGTGCCGGAATACGACGGTGAGCAATGTCTACTATGCACCTCCGCACGTTCTAAATTCTTGTTTCGCTGGCAGACATCTGGGCATCACCCGAAGACGCATGTCAGGAGGAGCTTGTGCATTGTTTACGTATCATCTTGATCTTATTCCGCCCCTGTCGATTTTATTAGATGTAGTAACAGTGTACATATAGTGGACTACTAGTATTATTCTTGCAACTGTATCAGACCCCATTAGCTCCGCGATGCTTCGTCCACGTTAGATATCGCCGCTTAGTCTAAAGCAACTTGACGAGATAGACGCGCGGGACGCGTCATTCTGTTCCGTTGCTCTCAACTTCAATTTTGGTACCGACCGGACAACACGAAATCTTTGCAAGAATGTCAGACAAAGATCAACTACTAGCAATGGGATTTGATCCTAAGCGTGTTGAATGTACGCCGTCTTCATTTCCATTTCGCGTGTTCGCCAACCCAACGTGAAACTGACGATGACTGCCGTGTCTTCCAGGGGCATTGAAGGCCACACAGAATCGAGGTCTACAACCCGCAATGGATCATATACTCGAACACGAATCCGATCCTGTACCTGATCTATCGGCTCCTTTGCCAGCCTCCTCTTCGGGTCCTCAGCCCATTGCAGTAGATGATGAAGACGAAGATGAAGCAGAAGCTTTGAAAGCTGCACTCAAATTGAGTCAAGGATCTGGCTCTGGAGGAGATGCTGCTGGTGCATCGGCCGGTGGCGAAGAAGCTCGTGTTCGTGTGCTTCCTATGTCTGGTTGTGCAAGGATATTGATTTGGGCGGTTCCTGCGATTAGTCGATCAAATGCCAGCAGTGTGGCAAGATCTTCAAGAACACTGCATTGGCGAACTTCCATGCCGAGAAATCGGGTCATGATCAATTCGAGGAATCCACGGAAGAAGTGAGTTTCCAAATTCTTGGTCGTTGAAATCACGGCTTATTTAGAGGATGATTATCAGATCAAACCGCTGACAGAGGAAGAGAAGAAAGAGCGGCTGGAGGAACTCCGACAGAAGATGGCTGAAAAGAGAGCAAAGAAGGCTGTTGAAGACGCTAAGGAGAATAAAGCCAACGAAGCATTGAGACGAAAAGCCGGGAAGGTATCTTCCGTTCTCTCTCTTTCTCGTGCCTCATCTCATTTCATGGAATATCAGGATATCGGTGCCGCTCGAGAAGAGCTGAAAGCTAAAGAACTTGTGAAAGAAGCGGAACAGAAGAGAAGAGAGAAATTGGAAGATGCGAAAGCGAAGGCTGCTATCAAAGCTCAGATCGAAGCGGACAAGAAAGCGCGAGCGGAGAAGGCTGCACGAGAGAAGGCATTGAGAGACGGTACTGCGTTGCCTGAGCCAGGGGTTTCAACGCCTGCCCCTGTTACTCGGTCTGCCGGACCAGGTGTCTCTGGCAAAGATTATAAGGAGACCAGATTACAAGTGAGTACACCATCTAAAGTATGAGCAAAGGGTCTAACCAGTGGCTCGCTTCTCTAGATACGCCTGGCAAGTGGAGGACAACCATATACTACCACGCTACCTTCCGATTCCAGTGAGTCACCTTGTGCTTTCGCTCCCGGACGATGTATTGATGCTTTTCCGCTAGCTCTGACTGACGTAGCGGAATACCTCGCGGGACAAGTCCTGCAGGTGGATGTAGAGACCGTTTCATTCGCTCAGCACTTCCCAAGGCATGTGTCAAAGGCTGCACCTCCCCAGCACAATGTCTAATTACGACTCTGTTCTCTAGAAAACAATTCACGAGATCTGATTTCAGTAAAACTCTGAAAGAGCTCGGATTGACCCCTAGTGCAGTAAGTCGTCTTCAGTGGGATTCGGGTTTGAGGCACTCTGACCACGTTTAAAACAGGTTTTGATAGCATCATGATAGCGAGACGATGTATGAATATTTACACGAGCAATGCATGTACAATTAGCAGTCTCATAGCCTACGTTTGGTTGACGTAATCAACTTTGGCCCACGTATGAGCTCCTGTACTTCTCGCGAACACATCGGGAGTGGCTCGAAAACGACGCAAGCATTAATATCCCGAGGAGGAAAGTGCCCTGAACCACGAGCCGAGCTTCACAGCGTGCAACGTGCTTGGACGAAACGAACGCTTTTCGTTCTGACTTCCTTCTTCCATAGTCAGCGTTTGAACAAACAAGTAGCCTCGGACTGAAAACCTGTGCCTGATGCTGCCATTCCTTCATTTCTGCGTCTCTTCACGTAGCGAATTTCTCAGTTTTTCAACTTGTCCGATAACAGTCGAATCGGGGCCTTGAGGGCCAAGCCTTTGTTTCTGCTCGATCAAGAACGACTGCAGATATGCCAGCGCGTCGGAGGTATCGATGCCTCTGATAGAATTAGCTTTGATGTTAGGAGGCGGCTGCAGTGGGCGATCCATGGTGGACGCAGCGCAAGACGTTCAGAAAATTGTCGGCGCCTGCCGGTCGTTCAAATTGTCGTTGACCTTGACACAAGATTCGCAAAGGATATGCAATATGGACACAAACGAACAGGACAGGTAAAGAGAACCCTTACCTCTAAAGATGCTCGTGGTCGGCCTGAATGATAAAACGAATGGTGCACGCTGCGGGAGACATGTGAAGCAGACGAAGCAAAAGAAGTGGTTCGTACGAGGGTCGAACTCGCGACCTTGGCGTGTAATATCAAGTATTAGCACCACGCTCTAACCAACTGAGCTAACAAACCGCCATATTGGCGGCCACAGCCATGACATTATACTCCGAGGGCAAATTGGGATGATAACGAGAACTTCTATGCCCTAACTCGGTCGCGAATCATTACTCATTGCCGATCTTTGATCCTCGATCTCGATCATCAATCAACAATAACATCTTATTGAAGGTATTCGTGTTTGAAGTGCGTCCGTGTTGTTTTGTCCGGCAGTTACGGAAATACGTCTCGCTTTTTCGCTTCAAAACGAAGGATGATGCCTAGTACTAGTATTCCACTCTTCTTTCGAACGTGCAGGAATTTTTCGATAGGCGACAAGCTTCTACCTCCTTTCTCGACAAGGGGTGCTACGAGTGTTGCGCAATGCGCCCACCCTCGGTCCGAGTATCGCGGAAGGACTCAATATTTCACGAATAACTGTAGATCACAAATACAAGCTAGAAAACTCGCGACGCCCACTGAGGCCTTTTTTTCCAGTCGCCATGGTATTTTTGCTTCCAAAGACATGAATGAATTTGAATTTTAGTGCCTTTGGCCTTCGACTTCGGTTGGATTGGCGGCTCGAAGCATTTGTTTCTTCCTTCGATTCGGTGGTATACCGATAACGAGGCCGATCATCAGTGCAGGGTGTCTGCAGCGTTTCATCATAGGCGACACGGACACCCGGAGTTTGCTCAGAGCCTACAGTCTCTGAATGTACAATGCGAGGATCTACAACACTGTTGTCGTCATCGTTCTGGAGAGCCAGCTTAATTGTGTCGACTTGAAATTCCTGCTCCAGATCGAGTAAGTCCTCGAGTCATTCTTGCTGCAGTGTGCCTTGCTTACGTCCTCTTGTCGGAGCTTTCGTCGGGCGCGCTTCGGGGATCACTGGCACTTCGCATCATTTCGCGTGCAATAAGATGTCCGTACGCGAGATCTCGATTGATCGTCGAAGCCAATCCCAAACAGATTACCTGGTAGTCTCCACTAGTCAAGAGCGCAATCACGACATTCAGAAGAATTCGGCGTCGGACACTAAGATGGTGCGTGGTTCCAAGGATCTTTTCGGCCCTGATATCAGAACTTGCCCATCCGAGTCTGACGGCGGTGAAATAAATTATTTGGCAGAAAACTGAGCAGCAGGAAGAGGCCTACACGGAAGGATACAAAGCCATAAAGAGGCACGGATGATGCCTATAGCACATTAGTCCTCAAAGAGGCCTCAACACTACAATACCAATGTCGAGGACTCACCGCATGAAGAAAGGAAACAGACAAGCTTCTCTGTATGAAACAAGAGAAATCGAATATTGTATTGCAAACGTTTCCTGCGGCATTCGCCTTGACGGTTTTACGTTTTCGCGCTTGCATTAGAAGTTGTAGCGGAACAAGACGGATGTAGCAACTGGGCGACGGGCGACGACCTTCCCATTTTGGTAGTTTGGATCCCGAGGAGCCTCTGGCAATTCTGATCCGCCGATGAACTCATTGATCGTCAGTTTATTTCAGGGAGAAATCATCGAAGAACATTGATGCTGAACTTGTTTTGGTGAAGATTGGCAAAATAGCAAAGCGCCTCGATGCAGAGAAGTCTCGGCGGGTTGTAGCTACCCGACGGTATCTGTATCCCGTTGTTCTGGAGATCGCTTAATCAACCGAAATGCCTGATTACCATAATGACACGGTTGTTTCCAGTCAGTTCTATGACTCGGCAGACTGATTTTCATCACGAAAGACATCAGTTTGTTTCCTGAAATATTCGAGCGGCGAGAGAAATGCTTCGTGATTGTTTGGCAGGAAGCCGAGTCTGCAAACGATGATATCTAAGCTCCATTTTCTGCTAGAAAATATTCTGATTTCGACCAAGTCGACGGCCGCCCTGACAGGAACGTTGATAGGCAATCGGCAAAGCATCCAGGGACCAATGTTTAGGTTTATTTGCCCCCGAATCCTGCTTCTCAGGTCAATTCCCTCGATATAATGTGACCAGCCGCTTCTGCCTCCTGCCCTTGTCTGCGACGATGAAGATAGCCAGAGGACGTATCAGTCGTACCATGAAGTCAGTGACTCTCTTCTTACAGTCTTTCTTATTACTATGCCTTTGTTTCCTTTTTTTTCTGCTTCCGGGTCTGACGTATGTGTCGCTATCGCAGTCCTCGCTCTCCCAGCAAATCGACATTAGTTCCTAGGGAAGAGTCTCCTAGTCCTTCGTAAGCACTCCATTTATGTCGGAGCATTGAGCAGACTCGCTGAAAAAAACACTTGTCCCTCCTCCGCATCTCAGCAGTCGAATCAAGACTCGCTCGTCGGAGTCCCCAGTCGCGAAGAGTCTCTCGATCAATAACTACAAGAACAAGAAACCTTATCGAACGGATCAAGATAGGGAAGCAGAGCTGGTCAATCATGAGTACAGCCGGAAAGTTGAGCCTCGGAGGGTGTTATGCGGGAATTGTAATACATGGGTGAAGTTACGCAATACAACTAAGTTCTGTCCCACTCCTTGGTAAGCCTATCCTTCTTCTCGCCGTCTCTTCCCTGTATCGATTCACTCTTCTGCATCCGACTTGTTATCCCGTGCTGATCTTTGTGGAAAATAGGTATGTACACATCGAAAAATGTAGGAAAAAGTCGGAGTGAGTGTTGTCATTTCTTCTTCATATTTTCCGAGGGCCAGTTCAAGTTTGTCGTGCAAATGGGAGACACTTTTCACTCCTACGATTTTTATCTCTTACCCGTAGGTTCTGGGGCCTGACTCTTTCTCTCTCCGTATAGCCAAGAACTTCAACTGTGGGCCCGCCGTGTCAACAAGTCCGTTGTACCACCCTCGGACTGCGGTTCCCATCCTGGTACTCGACCGAGCACTCCTTCGCCTACGGTATGTCCTTTGCCAAAATCCTCAATCTTTCCCAGAAACTCATGTCTTTTTTTTTCCTCTTCCGCGTTACCTTTTGGATCTCCTGTGTTCAATTTCGGCCTCTCATTCAACCCTGGGACTCACCTCTCCAGACCAAGATCGAAGAAAACGACGCGGCAAATCCCATCGATGTTGACAGGGACCCCATTGCCCCGCGCGCGGCACCAGACCATCTCTTTTCATCCTCACCAGTCACATCTGATGACGACGAAGTCGATTCCGAAGACGACGGACCCAACACTCTCCCGGACACCCTTTCTCTCTCCATCAAACGTGAGGAAGTCGAAGCTGCCCTTACTACCTCTTTTGCGGCTTCATCTTTGGAAAGCGCTCAGCGCACGCCGTCGCAGAAGAAATCGCCCTCCAAACCTCGTCTCACGATCAAGTTCAGAAATCCCCGCCCACCAATTCCGAGGCCGGATTTTTCGTCCGCTGCTGCGGCCCCCTCCATAAATATGGAAATGGATTCTGAGCCGCGTATCGTACAGCCACCTAGTTCGAGCTCTCCATCATCGGCTTCAGCAACTATTCAAACTATTCATTCTCTCCCGCCTTCACCTTCAAAAGATGCCAGGGACGCCCTTACCAACTCCACCGGCATAATCCGGCCACCCCGTAGCTACATTCGGGTTCCTACCCCTCCGTGGCTGAAGAATGGTGCAGACGACGAGGCATTTGAGCTAGACTTCGGCATGGACAGGTTTAAAAGAAACGCCGATTTTGAACGGGAGGATAGTCCTCTGTGAAAAGGATCCGACCTTGATGTCAGCCGGGAAGAAAGACGATTTTCGAAGGGAAGCGAACGTCGTCTCTGGTGCAATATTTGTGAAGGTGTGACTGTCATCGCCCTATGTTCTCCTACATATTACCTCCGCATTTGTTTCATGATCTTCATTGTGGTCTTCTGTTCGACCTTCTGTGTCTGCGAGTCTTTCACGCATTCTCATCTACTGTTTGAGGAACACCTATCATCTTTTGTTCAATCTGTCATGTTTTGATTCTTCGAGTGCTCTCGGACACCGTTGTCTTGCTTTATATTGTACATACTTGTTACATTGTTCAATTACGCATAGGAACTATAATAGCGAATATATTCTGACATTAGCAAAGCGATATCGGTAGAGTCCAGAACGACACCCAATTCAAAATATGATGACACCAAGTCCCAGAAAAGAAAGCCGCGATGCGGAACACTGGCCCGGTTCAGCCCGAAGTCGTCTCATCCGTCATCCTTCCCAATGAAGTCTATTAGAGGTTTCACAACACCCGGTAATGCCGCCAGGCGGTCCGGTTGTAGTCCCTCCGGATCCTCCAGAACAGTCATGAACGTATCCAGCGTTCGACGAATCTTGGACAGCTGTGCTGGCGATACGTGAACCTGGAATACGGGTAAATTATGTCCCGGGTATTTGGAGTCAACCAAAGAAAATACCTTGTTCGAAGGCTCTGCTGGGACTGGATCTAGAAGAAAGACAGGCCGTGGATGGATTAAAGCGTTGCTTTCCGGAACATTGTGCCCGTGTTCGTTATGACGATGGGGATAAAAGTGAGCTATTGAATCCGTGGTCTCCATGGCGACGCCTGCGTGTAAATCGTGGAGATCTAGCAGTTATCATCAACTCGTCTACATTGCCAAGACAAGGTATAAAGAGGCTTACAATCAGAGTGTGACAAAGTTTCGTCTGGCGTGGGTGTCCGATCGAGTGAAGGAGGGGAAGGGAAGAGAGAAGGAGCGCTATGCGAGTGCGAGATGGGGTTGAACGCAAGAGAAGGTTGGTGCGTGGCCACGCTTGGATCTTGATGATCATCGAGAGTTGATGCCCATGGCTACGAAAGAAAATGATGAAAGGTAATCCTCGATTTCTGTACGGCTAACGCACCAATATCCCAATCCGTAATTTCTGCTCCTTTTGATACGGCGGGTGATTCATTCCATGCGTGACCCGAATTCTGACTCTTCTCAAAGCTTCTCCTAACTCATTTCCATGTTCATCATTCCAGTCGGTCAGGGTAACGAGTAATTTTCCTTCGCATTCGTAGCGATCCATGATGCGTCGGTTGCGTTGTGGTCTGCGCTTAAGAGGATCGGCATGAGGAGCATGCTTGGTCTGAAAGCCTT